AGCTTCAGATTTCCTCTAGCCTAAGTGCCTCAAGAAGTTTCCCTTCGACATAAATGCCTCGAAATAAACCAGAAGCAGATTATTTAAGTTTCAGGTTCACTATCCGTTGATTAAATGTTGCCAAAAGGGGTCTATCGCAACATTTTAGCAAGTGAATGTTGCTATTGACTAATATAATTGAGCTTTCGCAACATTTTTTAAATAAATGTTGCTAATGTCGCCTTTTGCAACGTTTTTTAAATGTTACGAAAAGTTTAAGTTTTGCAACGTTTTTTAACTGCTGCGAAAAATTTAATTTTTTGCAACGTTCAAAAAACGTTGCCAAAGAACACCGCGAAAAGTCCACTTTTGGCAACGTTTTTTAAATGTTACGAAAAAAATTACTTTTGGCAAAGTTCAAAAAACGTTGCGAAAAGTTTTGCACTTTTTTCCCAAATTAAATTATATACGAGCTCAAATGGTAAGAGTAAAAAGTTTCATTAATAACTGAACTTTGAATGTTGTCACTTTGTAGTCACTATACTTTGAAATTCCTCTAAACGGTCACTGAACTTACCAAAAGTATTCTCCATCCATCACTCATCACCCAGCCGTTTGGAACTCATCTGACGTGGCACAACAGCGTCCTACTTGGCATCTAACGGCGTAATCACCCAGCCACATAATACACATGTTTCCTAAAATCATTACTTACAAATTAAAACCGCACCTCTAATTGAGATGAACCCTAATCGAATTTTTCCCCAAACCACGATCCCAAAATCGCGTACACCATAAATTGATTCAACGCTATAAAGGTCATCACCATCTTAAGTTGATTTTGAACCCGTAAACCCACCATCTTGTCCAACAACGATCGAAATCCTAATCCCTAAATCGTGCAAAGAAAGCTAAAAAATAGCCGACTGATTTGGACAAGAGCACATCTGAAGGAGAGAATTGAAAGAATGGAATGAGCGGATGGAGGTTTGTTGATTTCATGTACTTTGAAGTGTAATTATTCTCATACATTCTTTGAATCCGTCCTTTATTTTTTTCATGAACTCATGATTAATAGGAATGATATTTTCGTTGGGCTGTTATTTTGTTTTATTTGGGCAGGTTTAGTTGAATTCAATATCAACTAAAATGGAATAAATGAGCAATGTTTGTGATTGATTTTAGAGCTTAATTTCTAATTTTTAAACAATATTTTAGTTGATTTGCCCAGTGATTAACTTTTCTTGCACACGAGTCTTGATATGATAATTGATTTTTTTTTTGTTAATTGCCTTTTATCAACCAGGACTAGTTAGAAGCCGAATTACAACCAGTTGCGACCAATTGCAATCTAGCAGTTAATAAACCAGTAAGTAGACATCAAGCTCTTGTTTTTAACTTATTCATGAAATCTGTGCATAAACATTCAGGTTTGATGTGTTTGTTTGATTGTATAGGGAAAAATGTTCACCACAAGGGAGTAAGGGATCATCGATTGTAAACACGCGTGACGAACATCAAATGCAGTTCATACCGACACCTACGGTTGCAGGAGACATGCATGCAGTGAAGCTTAGATCTGGACTAGCAGCCACTTTGCAATCTGTCCGTACACATGGGCTGTTTGATACTTGAATGAAATGACCACTTGTTTGGGAATTTAGCTATGGAATGTACAACTTTTTGTGGATATTAAATGTGAAGGGAATTTCAGTAACCTTGTATTTTTGTGATAGGATATGATGCCCAGTGTTCATGTGTCCTGAGACTTGGTTGCTGAGTCATATTTTGCATCTTTACAAACTTATCTAGTTAGATATTAAATGTGAAGGGAATTTCAGTAACCTTGTATTTTTGTGATAGGATATGATGCTCGGTGTTCATGTGTCCTAAGACTTGGTTGCTGAGTCATATTTTGCATCTTTACAAACTTATCTAGTTAGCAAATATACAGATGTCACATATGAAGGAAAGAAATACATAAAGGCAGCGCCCAAGCGTTGCAAACACAGTGCCTTGGCTCTGTGTTTTTCCCAGCGAACAGAATTTATGCACTCATATCGCTAGCACTGTCAACTCTCCATCATCTACTTAAAAAAACCATATAATTTATCAAAAAGAAACACTTAAACTTGCTGAAAATATACATAAGTTTCACAACTATGCATTACATAACAAATTGTTGGATGATATAGCTATATAACAAGACTCCAGGCAAGAAAAAAACATTTGCACTGCTGCCACAAAACAAAAAAACTCAGGGAAGATATACCAACCCTCTTCGTCCGATGAACATTCCAAAGTTAGCTCTTCAGAGGATGGATACTCCAAGTCATTGACTGTGTTCACATCGTCCATCTCCCCTCCAAGCATTACTGCTCCATCTTGTCCCACCACATTGATTTCCATACCAATTTCAATGTCGTCCGTCACATTATGATCGTACAACATATCATCTTCCTCGGAAACCATATCAATATCTGACTGAAAGAAGTCAGAGTCTTCCTCATGACCTGTCAAAATCCATGAGAAAAATTAATTCACCTCTAATGTACACGCTTAAACCAAATAGCTTTCTTCCACCTCAGTACACAATTTGAACTAAGAAATTGGTACAGTTTAGATGAACAATCATGCAACAGAATACATGAGCACATGACAAATTAAGACCAGATGGATATTCACAACATTAGGTTGACTTAATGTTTTTCTAAATAAACGGATGGATGCACGCTTAAGAATATATATAGAGACCCAACAAAACTGAAACCACAAGGAAAATGGTTAAAAAAGGGGTCGAGACGCATATGAAAGGAGAAAAGATAAGCCAACTGAAGACATAGATGGAAGGAGAAAAACATCATCAGCAAAAGAACAGAGGAGAAGAAAAAAAATAATAAAAGCAAAATAAGTTTACCTCCACTTTCTCCCTCCATGCGTGCAACTTTTTAAAAACCTTCAGCTCTAGCAATTGAGATATCAGGTTAGCGGTTGATGGATCTTGCCATTTGCTAAAATCTGCAATCGCGACTTCAGGGGTTGCACAATCGAATTGGGGGAGAGTTTTGAATGAATCAATTCTAGGGCTCGGATTTAGGATTAGGGATGATGGGAATGGTTTTCAATCGTGTATTTGGGGGAAATGGTTTGTTGAATTGGGGGAGAGTTTCTGAATTTTTTGTGATTCTAGGGTTCCTGCAAGTGTGACTTGGGGAAAAAAATTTAATTGTGATTTTGTTCATGTAGATCGTGTTTTAAAATGGAAATCGCGTCCACCGTGTACAATATTGACGTCGTCGGTTGCCACATGGAGCTCCGTCAAGCCACGTTCGATTGCTTCAAACGGATGGGGTGTCGGGTGATGGTTCAGTGACTGTTCAGCATCAAAAGAAAGTTCAGTGACTATAACGTGACGTTGTGCTAAGTTCAGTGACTAATGAAACTTTTTACTCGATTAACCTTCGCACCAATTACACATTAAAAATTGGGAATTTCTGCAATTGGTGGTGGGTAGGGTGGGATGGGGTAGGATGTAGTGGATATACATTATTCTTGAAAAAAAAATAAAAATCATAACACTTGATTTATAAAATTGAAATTTGAAAGGTAGGGACGAAGGGGTATTCCTCTATTTTTATAAGCTAGTCTTTGCCCGTGCATTTTTTTGAAAGTATTTTTAGTGTGTTAAATGTGTTGGAGTTTCATGAATTACATACATAACTTAATGTTCGCTATGACTACATTGTGATGAATTTTAATTTTTTCTAAATATGTAGAGAGGCTTACTAAATTATGTTATTCTAGAATATAAAAAATATATTCTCTCAGTGTATTGCCTTTAAAGAACTCTTTAGTCAGTTGCAAGCAAACTTCTAGAATAAGCTTGGATTCATCAACACCATAAAGAATTGGCTTCATCTCCCCCAATGAGGACATCTAATTTCATCAA